CCCCAAAACCCCAAAACCCCAAAACCCCAAAACCCCAAAACCCCAAATTTAACAAACGTAATTGCAATTTTATTAACTTTGCTATGGAAGTCACGATCAAAAATAGGAAGGGAAAGGACTTAGCTACTCTGAATGTTAACAGCAACATGACTGTCAAAGATCTGAAGAACTTATACCTCAAGGAAGCTAAAGGAAAGAAAGTATCTTTCAATAGACAATACTATACTCTTAATGAGATCAAAGGCAAAGCTCTCAATGACGATACCAAGAAGCTTAGCTCTTATGATATCAAAAGCGGAGACACACTGTATCTGAAAGACTTAGGACTTCAGATTTCATGGAAGCTTGTGTTCCTCGTTGAATACTTTGGCCCTATTGGAATCTTCTTGATTTTCTACTACTTCAGGAACTTGATCTATGGGCAAGGATCCGCTAATGTTCCACTCTCTTTTACTCAAAAGGCAGGATTCTTCATGGTGCTTGGACACTACATAAAGAGAGAATTAGAGACTTTATTTATTCATAGATTTAGCAGCTCTACGATGCCATTCAAGAACCTGTTTATCAACTGTACTCATTACTGGTTTACCTTTGCTTTGTTGGTTGGATATTTCTTGTTCCACCCAAAATACACTGAGCCAACCTACATTCCAATGAACTTGAAGTACATCTTGATCGGTCTTTTCGCATTCTTCCAGTTGATGAACTTCTTGTGCCACAATGAGCTCAAGAACCTCAGGAAACCAGGAACCACTGAGAGAGGTATCCCTAAAGGATTTGGGTTTGGACTTGTGTCCTGTGCCAATTATTTCTGGGAAACTCTAGTCTGGCTGTCATACTCAGTCCTCACAGGAACAGCTACAAGCTATCTCTTCTTAGTCTTTTCCTTCTACCAGATGTCAGAATGGGCACTTAAGAAGCACAGAAGATACAAGAAGGAGTTCAAGGATTATCCTAAGGAGAGAACCGCTATCCTCCCTTTCCTTCTATAAAGCTGGATATTGAATTCAACCTCCATTCTTCTTAAGGGGTTTTGGGGTTTTGGGGTTTTGGGGTTTTGGGGTTTTGGGGTTTTGGGG